AACGGTCAGCAGAGTGTCGAGGCAGTCTTGAAGTCGATTTTAAGATGACATATCTGAATAGCGCTTGAAATATGTGTCCAGCAAGATAGATACATGTAAGATTACTATATAGAAACACAAACTCGAGAGGAATAGGCCTAGGTATTCTCATCAAGTTATCCCAACTTCTCTATATCATTCATGTTCATTGGGATCTTGTATCGCCGATGTTCTAATTAGAAATTATTATGCGATGTATTGATGAAACAAAGTAACATCATATTTCTGATGAATTCCTGGGGAACTTCGTGAATCAGTTGACAGATGCGACAGTTTCCATACACTTGAATCTGAGCTCTGATGTTCCGTCCAGGTGTGAATGGAGGCACCTCCTCAGCACACTTCCCCATCTTTCGTACTTAACTGCTCCGGTGCATCCTCAGCGAGAAAATGTAAAATTGTATATGTAGTAAACTCCATTTTGATCTTTAAAGCACAAGTACCAGTACCATTCATTTCAAATGTGTATAGGAATCATCTTGAAATACGTTTCTGTACATATCCTTTCCTTTCATCCAAACGTGGTGGTTAATGTTCATGTACACGTTACAGCACAACCGAAACTTGAGAAGTCACCATCGTACCAGCCACTTGTATTCGATCGATCAGCCAAATCTACGAGCAGTCCTGATGATATAAAGGAAAGCGAAGAAGAAAATCAGAATCAGGATCAGAATCGAAATCAAGACAAGAAACTACATACAGGGGACACTGCGGACCGTTACCATTTGAAGAAAACATCATAATCTTTCTTTGGCGATGGTAATGAAGGGGTCGATGCGCATGGCAAAAGGTCTCGAACTTCTATGATATCGATATCAACAGCTGTCCAATACTAATCCAAGATATCATTTGACCGAGGGGAGAAAAGCAGCTTCCCTTCTTCCCCTGCATCAATCAAGCTTCCCCATTCGTGTCTTTGATTTTTCTCGCTCCATTCTTGAGGTATCGACTGCATACTACGACGTCACAATACTTCTATCCCATTCAACGAATTTTCAAACTTTTTTCTTCTCCACGAACGGAATAACAACGGATTCTCCCACGGTCTGCAAGCAAGATTCTATTCTCCGCGAAATCTCGGAGACTCCATCATTCTTCTCTCCTCATTAAAAAAAAGCAAGGAAGGACCATTCAATTGCATCGCATCCACTACCTCCACCATCATTTGGGGTTCCCAGACAAGAGAGAGGGAGCGAGTGAGAGAGCACCAGAGAGCACAGGAGAACACAGCTTTCATTACGAAATCTTTATCATACTCGGCATTGCCATCTATCTACTTACTGCACGAGAGTACATGCATACAGACAATACACTCTTCTAGTTCGACAGATATCCATCAAATCTATCTGCAGCATTCATCCAAATCTGACTACCGATCACACGATAATACGATCGAATTTAATATATCAAATAGCCATCATCCATCCATACCTACCTACCTACCCACCACACTCGTACCAATCCAAGATCCAATTATATCGACTCTTGCTTGTTAATGCATCGAATGCTTTCTCTCTCTCTCTCTCTTTCTCTCACTGCTCGATACATTATACGCATCTATCTATCTACCTTTGACCATTCATGAATTGAGACTCTGACTTTTCAACCCCTTGGAGTTTGAACTAATCCTTTTCCAGGAGGGTTTTTCTACAGAAACAGCATCATCATCATCATCATTTTCACCCCCCTCCCCTCCCCTTCCCCCCTCGAGTGCATTTTTTTTCCCTTTCTTCCTTTGTTCCTTGGAGGAAAGAGGTTCAAAGTAACACAACTAGCACCGCATTAGACGGCCCTTTTTTGGAGAGGGCCTTATTGATTTTAACCAATCGAATCATCGAATCCCTCTCAAATAAGTGGAGATATCTTGGGTCCCGACTCCCAACTCTGCCCCTCCAAAGTTTCCCAGGCTTTGGTTGTGTTACGAGCGTGTAATCGAGATATCTGAGATTCTGAATTGCCCCGCCTCCCGCCAAGTTGGCCATAAACTCCCCCATCCTAACCAAAATTACGTCCTCAATTGGAAAGGGCGACCCGCCCACCAACTTCAATTCTAAACAGAAGAAGATTCCTTTCACTTCCGATTTATATTCTCAATCTCCTGTTCCTTCTTCTTCTCTTTTTGCTCACTTCTTTTCTCCTAAAACTCCTTCTCAATCAACAAATCCAACACCGACATCCTTTAAAGAATCCAACCTATTTAAACCTCACAAAGTCTCGAGACCAAATCCAATCAGCCTCATCCATTTAGCCTCCGTGACCTTTGTGGTTATTGCCTTGGTAAATCGATCACGAGCCATTATTGCATTCTGTTGGTTGTTACTAATTCTTTATACGTAGATTGTCCAATTCTTATTCACTGATACCCCTCCGCTTTATTCGGCATCTCTCCATCCCTATTCACCAACATCGTACTCTCCTAGAGCCAACGTTTTGGATCAGGGAACTTGCGAATCACCACATCCATTTCCCACAGAAGCGCCAATATCAAGACCACACAAAATGTCTTTGTTAGCAGAATCAAAGCGCGTTGCCGCCGAGTTTGAATACACAGACGAGGATGTGCGACGAGGTGTTGCTGAATTTGTCGCGGAGATGAGTATGTAAATCTGCCAACCAGTTTATGGATTGAAATTAACGTCTGCATAGATGAGGGATTGGAAAAGAATGCAACCAACATGAGTCAAATTCCAACATACGTGACTGGAGTCCCTAATGGAACGGAAAAGGTAGGAGAAGGAGACCCGCATTTCCTATGCACAAAGCTGATGAATCAATAGGGACTATATCTAGCGGTCGATCTTGGAGGAACCAATTTCCGAGTTTGCTCAATTCAATTGCACGGAGATACCACATTCAGTCTTACACAATCAAAGGTTGCGATACCCCGGGAGCTGATGTTGGCTAAGACCGCATCGGACCTTTTCTCATTTTTGGCAAAACAAATCGAACTTTTCCTCAAGACCCATCACGAAGACCATTTCGCGGCCCACATCAGACGTCGCAATACTGTCAGCACTCCAGAAGGTTTCAGAGATGAACATGTCTTTAGACTTGGATTCACGTTCAGTTTCCCAGTTCACCAAATTGGTATCAACAGAGGAACTCTGATTAGATGGACAAAGGGCTTCGATATTGCGGATGCGGTTGGACAAGATGTTTGTGAATTGCTACAAAAGGAGATTGATAAACTGCACTTGCCAGTGAAGGTCGCTGCTCTTGTAAACGATACAGTCGGAACATTGATGGCAAGAGCATATACCTCACCTGGAAAGACTCAGACCTTACTCGGAGCAATTTTTGGTACTGGTACCAATGGTGCCTATGTTGAGAAGCTCGAGAAGTTAACCAAGCCTATGGAAGGAGATTTTGATAAGACAACTGGTGAAATGGTTGTCAACACAGAATGGGGCTCGTTCGACAATGGTCTCAAAGTTTTGCCAAATACCATTTATGATCAAATCCTTGATAAGGACAGTGTCAACCCTGGTATTCAAATGTTCGAAAAGCGAGTTTCTGGCATGTTCTTGGGTGAAATTCTCAGAACTGTTCTCGTTCATATGATCAAGAGTCCTACCATTCCACTTTTCAGAGACCAATCTTCCGCAGATAACGACTATCGCTCAACAACTACAGTCGATGAAGCCGGTCCTCTTTACAAGCAATGGGCCGTCGATAGTTCTATCCTCTCGATTGCGGAAGCTGACAACAGCGTTGGTCTTCGCGCCCTTCGTCAAGAACTTGAGAAGTCTCTCGGTGTCTCAGCTGCGTCATTGGAAGATGCTCAAACCGTCAAGGAAATCGCCCATGCTATTGGTAAACGTGCAGCTCGTTTAGCCGCTGTTGCAATTGGTGCCATTGTTCTCCAAACTGGTCGTCTCGATATCAAATCTGATGCTCCTGGACCAAAATCAACAGCTGCCATCATTCAAGATGTCAAGGATTTGAAGATTGCCGATGCAGCATCAGCTACTGCCAACAAACTCGCTGACACAGCAGGCTTAGCTGTCAACGAGGAAGACGTTATCGATATTGGTGTGGACGGTTCTCTTGTTGAGTTCTACCCAGGATTCGAGGATCATATGAGAGAAGCTTTGAGAGCTATGGATGGTATTGGAGCTGCCGGCGAGAGAAGAATCAGAATTGGTATCGCCAAGGATGGATCTGGTGTCGGCGCCGCATTGATTGCGCTTGTGGCGGCAAAGATGGAGCAACAGCAACAACAAGATTACATTGGAGATTTAAGGAGTAGGTTGGGTGGTATTGGAGAGAACGCGATTTGAGAGTAATGGCTGCACGACTTGTTATGAAATGATTAAACGAATGGTTGATTTGTTGTTTGTCGACTTACTAGAGAAAGTACAGTGGAAAAACAAATATCAAGGTGAATTGATGGGAATGGATGGGCGAAGGGGTTGGGGTCGGCGGTTTTGGTTACACACATAGTTTAGGCATAGGGGGCTGCTAGGTGGCTACCTTTTTTTCAAGTATCATTTAGTAGGAAATGTGAACATACTTATGAATCTTTTAAAAGCTTCAAACTAGAATCACTTGCATGACCTGGAGCTTTGGCTGTTTGAATCTGTGTATTCGTCTTTAGTAAAGATTACTAGGAAAATCTTATACAAGGAAAGATTGTTATTTGGTAGGGGGTCGGTAAAGATGTGATACAACGTGATGTCACTCTTTGAAATACGGGAATATGGGATCATGATCTATTTAGCTGACCAGTTTTGTCTAGACATGAACGTAAGAATTGCTATGCATCTAAATACCACCAAGGAAGTCCACAATCCTCATCAGTGGACAGAAAAATGCTCTAGACCGAGATAATTAAGGTCTTTAAAAAAGAGCCTCCCGACATACTGCAGCATACCAGTCTCTCGCACCATCTCCCAAATTCCACATCCAGGCCTAACCACAGAGCCCCATCCCAGTCTCGCTCCCCACATCACCTCACCTCACATCTTCTCCCTCTCCCTAACGGTAACCCAAATCGGTTCCTTCTGCACCACGATATAATTCTTCAGCGCCAACCAATCCACGCCCTTCCCGCCCGCGCTCTGCAGATCGAAATTCCACAGCAGGCGCGCGAGCACCAGGCGCACTTCGGCCTGTCCGAAGGCTCGTCCCAAACACACGCGCGAACCTAAGCCCCACGGTTTCAGGATGTGCCGATTATCGTGGGCGTATTCGCGGGGCCGGAGGTGCGCGGGCAGGAACCGATCCGGGAGGAATTGGAGACTGTGGTGGAAGTTTTGCTCGCTGAGCGCTATGGCGATGGTGTTGCATTGGATGTGGGTCTAGGGGGATGGGGGGTCAGTTTGTGTGGATGGATGGATGTGGATGTGGATGGAGAGTTTGGGGGAGGTGAGGGAAGCTGAGGGAAGCTGAGACAAGAAAAGACAAGAATACTCACGCCTTCAGGAAGAAAGTATCCGCAAACAGTTGCGCCGCCACGAGGAACGACCCGAAGAAGTCCTCCCGAAACGGGATTGCAGATTCGTAAACCTTCGTTCACTACCGCGTTCAGAAATGGTAATTGCTGAAGAGCACTTAATGTAATATCCTCTTCCTTTTCAAAAATCGTGCGAACTTCCGCTTCCAATTTCCCAAGCTCCTGCGGATTTTGCACCAAACAGTTGAGGATTCCACAAATCGTAGTCCCCGTCGTCTCGCTCCCTCCGAGCAGTAAGAGAGCAGTTGTGCTTTCGATCTCAGGCATGCTCATTTTGGAAAACTCGGGATTGTTCTTCGGATCAAGCATGACCGTCATGAAATCTCCTTCTGCCGATTCGGGACGCTGCAGACGGCGATGGATTTTCTCCGCAGCGTACGCAAAGTGATCTTCTTGCATCTTGCGCGTGCTGGCGGGAAGCAGTTTGAGGATGAGCGAGTCGAGACCGGGAAAATATTGGGTGACGGCTGCGAGGGCCATCACTGTTCATATTAGCAATGGTAATAGCAATCGAAATCGCAATCGCACTCGAGTATTGATGTTTTGAGTTTTGACTGGATGATCGGGAACGAGATATGAGTGAGAACTTACTCTTAATCGCATTAAAAATCAAGACCGCCCACGGATGATTCGCCGTCTCCTTCAAACAATCAAACGACTCTCCCAACGCCAACATCCCAATAACATCAAAGGACCACCAATTCATCCAATCCACCACATTGATGCGGGCGCCCATGCGCGCATTTTCCGGTCTCTGCATCTCCGCGCGCATCTTGTCCACCATTAACGAAACATACCTCTGCAAAACCGGTTCCTGTCTCGCGACCGCGCGATCCGTAAACGCCGGTCCGAGTACCTGACGCATGCGCATGCTAATCTCAGCATCCACCGTCGTGATGAGATTTTCCGCCTGTCCGGGGGGCGATTTGAAAAATACCGGATCGCGGGGAAAGGGCTTGTGGTCCCCGACGGGGCTGAATACATCGTGCCAGACGTCTTCGTGCGCGATGGATACTTCGTCCGGGGCGGTGCGCACGATGGTTCCGTACTGGGAATGGAGGCTGCGGGTGTCGATGACGAGGTTGCCGCGCAGGAGAGAGAGGATGTAGGGGAGGCGGGTGGCGCGCCAGAGGAGGGGACCTGGGATGCGGGTGAGTGGGTGGAGGGTGAGGTTGTAGAGGGTGGAAGTTGTGGAATACTAGATGGGGTGTTAGGAGTAGCTTTTTCTTCTTTTTTCTCTCTTTTTGGGAATGGGAATGGAAAACTCACGAGGATCAAAACGAGGATTGAGAGACTGCTGATGGTGAACATTTGAATCCAGATATTGGTTCCGAGGAGAGATGGCATATCCATATTGAGAGGTAGAAAACCCATCGTGACGGTAAGTATAAAGTATAAAGGATATTTCTAGAAACTTGACTAAGTCTGTAGTTGTCGAGTTCAAATTTGAAATGGAGATCTTTCAAAATGGAGAGCTTTCAAAAGGGAGAGCTTTCAAGATGGAGAGCTTTCAAAATGGAGATCTTTCAAGAAGGAGATCTTTCAAGGATATTTTTCAAGATAGATATAAAAAACGTCGTAACCTTACAAGTTACTCTCTTCCAACTCTCGATTCGAAATATAGAGAACTTTTAAGCTACCTCCGGCTACCTAGGTAGATGAACTAGGTAAGCTTGTTGAGAAAATTAGACTAAGCCCTGGAGGGTTGGTATATTCACTATTCCTTAGCTCAATGAGCTGGAGTTTTTGGAGCTTTGCGGAGTGAATTCTGGGAGAAGATGGATGGATGGATGGATGGATGGATGGATGGATGGATGGATGGATGGATGGATGGATGGATGGATGGATGGCGAGTGTAGATAGATGTTTTATTCACTTATTTGCTAGGTGCTTATTTACTTTCCAATCCTAACTAGGTACTTCAATCACAAAGACTAATAACTACCTATCTACCTACCTACCTACATAGAATTAATCACTAAGATCACTCAAAGGTATCCTTTCTATTGAAGACCTCGGGATACTGTGTTTTTGTATATCTGAATTTGAATCTGTATCTGTATCTGTATCTGTATCTGAATAATGATAATAATAAGTATTCTTGATGTCGCAAATTATAATTAGGTAGGTAACTTGTTGTGATTAGATGATTTATTGTTAACTCGATAGATGAGTAATGTAATTGCTTTTGTTGGAGTTGAGGTGGGGAGGGAAGGGGGGAGGAGAGTTTGGAGTTGGATGTGAGATAGAGATGAAGTAATAGTAATAGAGATAGAAATAGAAATAGAGATAAAAATAGAGATAGAAATAGAAATAGAAATAAAAATAGAGATAGAAATAGAGATAGAAATAGAGATAGAAATAGAGATAGAAATGGAGATAGAGATATAATAATCTTGAAACTTTTGAGAAAGTAAAAGATGTGGGAATTTGTAAAGGTAATTTACGAGGCTGATCGATCATGGGAGTCCCCGATTTTGGAGCTGGAAATGAGGTAGTTCGTGGTGGTGAATTGGATGAATTGAGGGGGGGATTATAACGGGGAACTGGGAGAAACTGCAGGTGAGGTATTTATGATTTGGAGAGGAGAATCGATGGGCTTGTGGGAGTAGATGGTGATGTTTGATATTATGATACTATATTGGTATAGTACAATATTGCTATCCACAAACTTATAATCCCCTACAATTTCTCCGAGCAGAGGTGTATTTAAACTTTCAAAGTAGTCACCAAGACTTTCTGATTCAACCACGATATCTACTTTCAACTGACATCTGCTTTGACACAGCTACACTGAAACCCGATATTTTGTCTCACTCACAACACCCAAATCGAAAACCCATCTCAAAACATCATCAACCCCCCTTTCCACTCTATCGCCAACGATTCCAAAGCTTTAATCAGACAACTAGCCCCCCGAAAACTAGAGGATCAAAAATCCATTGGTTCTTTCTCCCTCGATATACGGTTTAGCATAGCGATCTATGCTAGCCAGGCCTGGTGGCGATGGAAAGCATATCCTCGTGTTCCCTCCCTCTTATTTTTAATAATTACTCGAAAAGGAAATATTAGATGGAAGGTGGTTGGATAGTTTGTACTTTGAAGATTGATGGTTCGAGTACTGCAGCTGCTACTCTGGCATTCAAGTGATACTAATTCAAAGTCCTCATTTTGGAGACGATATCGCCTTGCGAATTAAGAGAGTTGAAGGATTCTGAAAACAGAGTTGCGAGCATGGGACGTAAAGGTACTTGTCCATGTTGGATTTGAGATTCTGGTCCTATCGCTCTTCTCGAACAATGAGAAGACTATATTTTAGAGCACAAATTTCCTGGACGAAATGTTCTCATGACGTTGAATAAGGCTAAACTGACTAAGTTTCGTCCTGAGATCTTGTACGGTACTCGAAAATAACACTTGTTCATTATGCGGAAGCTTTTGCGGGCTAAATTGATTTTGATCATGTGGTTCATCGTTTGGATGGATGTGGATTGATGATGGCGTCACTTTCTCTTCAGTTGCATACTTTATTTAATGTATGCGATTCAATGGGATGAAAATGCAGAGAAGTATCATAGGAAAGTAATCGATTTGAGTAGTGGTAAGAGTAGTGGTGGAGTTCCTAGTGCCTCTCCCTATTCGATGTTGGAAGTTTCATGGATAGGTCATTAAGAATCTCGCTTGTGTGGATTGATCAACTAATTAGTTGAATAGATCACTTCTATCTTTCTGAAAGTATAATTAAGTCCTTGATCTTAAACAGATGGATCAAGTGGGTTCTTTTCTACAATCGAAGCTAGAATCTCACGGGGGAGTGGTTGGGTTTGGTAAGTTTCCACTCACCGTCATATGCCGTATGCCGCTAATTTTCATCCGGATTCCGGACTATTAGCCGATGTAGGCGATACAAAAAGCTCTATTGTAACCATAATCTTCTCAGCCTATCCATCGGTCCTCCGAGAATGATTGAAGACTTCAAAACCAAACATCATTTTCGCATGTCTAAGGAGGAGCAAATTGGATTTATGAGCGCTAATTGCGATGCTCTAGATGCACTTCTTCATTCTCCGAGTCCATCAAAACATGAGGATTCTATTGTAAAGATCGCACAATTCTTATGTAGGGAATGCTATGCCGTTCGTATTCAAGACAGATGAGTAGGTCTCTATCCACTTTATATGCAACATGTGATACTGACAAAAATGAAAACCTTTGTCGACGAAACCTATGGTTCTATAGCTCGAGACCAAGCTAAAGTTGTTATCAACAGTGTGAATTTTCCAGTGTTTCACGAGTAGTACAGCTTGAGCGAAGATACTGACTAGGATGAACCAGGAGTTCGCGTTCTGGCTGCTGTGAAGAAGGACCTGTTCTTCATTGCAACATGTGAGCGCTCATGCCTCAATCGAGCACTATCGCGATTGAGGCCAGAAATGAATATTTCGACACAAGTTGTATGGAATTTGAATGCCCTAAAAGTAATATCGGTACATCGAACCTTCAGTGACAGATGTATGTGGCTAAAGATCCGACTCTTAGGTGAAGTGATGTAGCTGGGTTTGGCGGACGCACCTGGACGAGACACACTCAGTAAGGAACCAAGTATGAGGTTTCCTCAGAATAGAAAACTCCTCTTCAGACTCGACCCAATACAGCTTTCTGAGTGTCTAGATACTAAAAATAAAATCAAATCTCAAAATTTCATCGTGAATCTTTCCACCCTTCTTTCAATCCTCGTGTCCAGGTCTCATCATCTATATCCGCAGATGGATGTTGAGATATTCATCTGTAACATCAAGCGCAGATACTTTCTCGACATAAAGTAATCTATAGCTAACTTTGTATACAGATAGTTTTTATGTAAACCTCGATCGAATTGACTGCTGATAATGTATCCATCTCGCTGTTGAATCCGAGACTACCCAGTTTTCCAAGTGGGACCTAGAAATCCTGGATCATGGCTCGTGCAACAGGATTATTATCGTGTAGATCAAACATATAATTGAGATGAAATAAGAGCTCATGATCGTACAGGACTAAATTATCGAGATGGGAAACTCGAATCTGATGAGCTCGAGTGCGTAGTGTTGATAATATGCTTACACATCATCGATTAACAAAACAAAGCAATGAATGCAGGGATGAAAAGAGCCTGCTGGTGTGTATTGGTAAATGGAAAAGAGAAATCAAATATAGAAAGAGCGCATGCTTTGAAATTTCGTATCCATACTGATATTGAAAAATGAAAATGACATCTATCCTTATGCTCCTGTCTATATCCCTATATCCCTATTCTCATCTCATCATCATAATCTTAATTATCCATATGCTGTCGCGCAAACGAACTCCTCGCTCGAAGTCTATAGCCATATTTCTCCAAGATGAAAGGGATAGGGACCAATAACACAGCTAAACATGCTAATATTGTTCCCGCCCAATTATATCCCAAATTCAGAAACATCTGTTTCCCAAACAAAGGGAATCCTGCACCGGCCAAATTTCGTATCAATCCCACGCCAGCTAAAGCACTTGCTGAAAATACCATGTAGCTATCTTCAACATAAAGATAAGTCATCAAAATGAGTGTGCAGAAAGAATACCCAAATAAAGTGGTAGCAAGTATGGGTACAATCCAGTGAATATGGTATTGAGGTGGCGAAGTCCATGCGAACCAGAAGAGACTGATCGGTAGTAGAATAGCAGCAAGTTTACTCAGTTGGACTCGTGCTTCTGGTATATTCTTGAATCTTTCAGGATCAAGCTCCTCTTCAGATTGCGTTTCCCTTGTTCCAGCTGCACGAATTCGTTTCTGATAATGGTTTTCTTGCCATATATTGATAAACGGACCCAAACTGATGCCGACGATAAGTCCAAGAAAACAAAGACCAACACCGACTATACCGAAACCATAACCCATCTTGCCAAATACGAGATTGAAAGCACTGTTGAAGAGAAATGAAAGTCCGTACAAGAAACCGTTGTAGAGCGCTGCAAAGATGATCACGGGCTCTGTTGCTAGAAAGCGGAAAGGTCGAGAAAGGGTGTTTTTAAATAATTGTCCCAGAGACTTGCTCTGCATTTCCATGGGTACCGTGGCGACGATTCTTCCAGCAGCTTTATTCAGTCGATTCGCACGTCTTCGCAGAATCACTGAACGTCTCGTCTCATTTCCAAAAACAAGAAGTACCACCACGAGTATCAACCAGAATCCTCCACAGATCCCTAGCAAAGCCCAGAAAACTTCTCGCCAGCCATATCTTTGTGCAACGAAAGACATCAAGAAATATCCGGAAGGACTCCCACATACTGCGGCCCAGAGAAAAATACTCATCGCTGGCCCTATTTGATCTCTTGGCCAGAGATCAGCTATTGTTCCACCAAAGTTGGCAATTGTCACACTAGCAAAGAGACCTGATAGAAATCTTAAAACAAGGAACCCTTCGATATTTTGTACGAGTGCTGTCCCAAGCAGAAATAGAAGGAATGTTCCATAAGGAATGATGTATAGATAAGACCTCCCATAGTATTCGGATAAAGGTGCAAATGTCATCGGTCCCAATGCTAGACCGAGGATATAGAGTGAGAGACCCAATACTCCAACTTCAGAACTGACATTGAAGGACCGGGTAAGATTTTCCTGTGCTGGTGAGTATCCAGATGCTCCCCAAGAGACTGTTAGATCGATCAATGTGATGCTGCCCACAATAGACCATTTTCTCCAGAAAGAAAAGTTGCGAGGATCAGAAGGCTCATCGGATCGAAATGTCAGGACTTGTATTTCATTATCGGCTGAGCTTGCGTACCGATCGGGTTGAGATGACCGATTCATGATTACGTACGTACGTAGCTATGTACCCAAAAGCACCCTCTCTTCGCTAAGTTGAGAGAAGTAAGGGAACTCTGTCGATTTTGATGTGTTGTATATGGTTGGATTCCATCAGGACCTGTACATTCAATTGGAGGCGTCTTTCATTTCTTCTTGTAGGAAGTTGATGTCGCTCAATGATGACGCTATGATGCAAAAATGGAGGTCATTGTTGTGATTGGATCTACTGTGTAATACACCGAGCACGAAAATCATATACCAAATGAGGGGTAAGTGCATACTTACACATATGTGTGGGATACGACGATACGTACCCCGACTCAGCAGAATGAAAACCCCGGCATATCATAATTGCCAAAATCGACAATCTTTGAAGAACACCTTGGACTCGAAATCAAACAAGTGTTGAAGAACATGTCTTAAATCGAGAGATGTCAACACCATCATAGATTATGAGCCCATGGAGATTCTGATTATATCCTGAACTAAAAGATTGATGAAATGATTTATCAAACTATTCTGACAATGTAGTGCTGTTTGGACCTGCTCATCTTTTCATCCTTCTAGAGCTGTGTTCAAAAGATTACCTAGGCACATCGGGATTAAATTCTTATCTCTATCGTCAAGGGATATGTCAACGATGTCTCCAATTCTGGAGACTGGAGCTGATTTCAACAGAGAGAGAGAGCAGAGCAGGCACCATGCTTGATAACTTTGTATTGGACGTATTGACTGAGCTTATCTTTATCATTTATTATTGATTTTTTAAATCGAATGACGAATACCGAGAGTTTGAAGTTGTTGCTCGGATTATCGCTTCTGCGAAGATTGATGAAGGGGTAAAGAAGTGTCGAACCTTTATGAAAATATGAGAACAGGTAATATTGATAATCATCCATTGACAACGGAACTGTCAAATATCGACTTTCGAAAAGAAATACTTTATCGATTTTGAAGAAGCTATCTAGGTACAGAGTGGGGAGGGAGCTAGTTATTATTCTGGTGTTCTTCCCGTTTGAAGGGTTTTCAAGGTGGTGGAACAAGACACGGCAAAAGGAACACCTACATTGACTAGCATTATGGGAAAGTGATATGCCAAGAAATTCGGAGTGACCGAAAATCATTAACTCAAACGGAAAAAGAACAGAATATTCATTTGTTTTTACCATGAGCTTTATCCTTATTTCTTCTTCCGATTCAGAGATATCGATACTCTCGCAAGTACCGAAACTAACAAATAGTATTCGGTAGAAGGAAGCCACTTCTAGAGAGTCTCTGCCCAGTCTAGAACTTCTCATGCATCTAGATATTGAACAAGAGCTTCATGTGTAAGCTCCGGAGTATTGAGGCACAGTAGAACGATCTCCTACCCCATCAAGTAACTTTATATACGAGTATATGGACATATATTTCACCATCAATCGAAAAGATCATCTATCACGGATGTTCCTTGTACCGAGTAGAGAGGTTGCATTCGGTACTTATCGACCTTTTATTACATCGCAGCAATCATATTGATCGAAACCCCTGCAGCGATATTGGCTATCAGTGTGCAACTAACACTCCGAGCTTCTTGTGGAGTTGACACCGTTTAGTTTTTGGGTGTAATCCATGTCGACGGACGGAAATTGAACCGGACTTGTTAACCTAATGGTCCGCTTGATCGTCAACTTTGATCCACAGAGCATTACTTCGTAAAGTAGTTAAATGAAGCCATGAGCCGGTTCTCTGGTACGATTGACATTTTATTGATCAATTCCATACCAATATCGGCTTCAAATTATGAGTCGAGGAAGCCGACAAATGCCAGGCCGATCCGAGCCTTATGAATACTCTTTCATCCCCGCCCCCGCTCCTGGCACCGACTCAGAATTCCAGGGTCCAATTCAGCAGAACATCGTCGACACGATTGAACAATGGAATTACGATAGTAGCTATAACGACCCTGACTTCGGATACATAGTACCGCTACCGGTGAACACTCTGGAAAGTCAGTATGCATCTGACACATCGAGATCATCTCGTGATCCTAATAGCTTGGAACGATCCTCCGCGACCGAGGAATCTTTACTAGATCTGCTAGATGGTTCACATACCATCGCCAATCCTACAAATATAACGAAAAATCCCAAGCCTCAGCAATTACCAGAAGCGCTTAAATACTTAGCACCAGTACCCACACAAAGAGATACTTCTCATCAATCTATTAAGACCCAATCGAGGAACCCTCAACAATCCGCAACCGATGAGCTACTACCTCTTAGACAACCTCCTACACATTCTCACTATCCTGAACAACAAGTCCAAAATGCACAGTCAGTATCCCATCACCCAGGTATACGAATCTCCGGCTAATCTCCTTTATCAAGACCGATTTCTTATCAACCTTCTACAACACATCCCACAACTCTGGCAGTTGTGAATGACCCATTCCTGTACGGTGATGTTGATGTGTTTTCGCAACCATTGGAAATTCAACTAGGCCCAGTACTACCGCCGTCATTATCTAAAGGAAAACGAAAACAATCTTTCAGCCCTTCCCCGTCGCCGGATCCTAACTCATCACGTCCAAGAAGGGTCGCAAATGCCAAGCGTCGGCGCGAATTCACTTATCCTGCTTCTCCAAAACCTTCATTTGGCTCCGAATGGTGGGAAAGTGATGCTTCACTTTGCTGGAGATGCCGCAGGCATAACACAAACGTAAATCATATCTTTCTTTCGCAGCACCCACTGGTTGATTGTGGGAAGCTTCTCTTGATGAACTTCGGCTGACTTTACTACACGGCAGCACCTGATATCAGGATTTTGTGATTCTTGCATCCGAGTGTCAAACTTCAATGTCGCTCCAAGCACTCAAGGGACGAGAACGGAAAATTTGGAAAGCCTAGTCTTATATCTATTACCATGTTCGGCTTCCCTTTCTATCATCCTTAGAACATGCAGTATCTAATCAAGCCTTAGCACATGTGGAAGAAAACCTCCGCGCTATTCCTCGGAATACACTAAAAACCAAAACTTGGCGTATGTTTTCTGCTGAGAGGGCCGAAAAAGCATTCGATCACGATTTTGACAATACCGTATTCAGAGATCATTTCGTTTTAGCGCAAGAACAGGCTCGTTCAACCGGAGTCTTCGACGAGAAATACTCAGATCTAATGGCAATAGCTCAAACATACCAAGAATCTATTCTTCAACCTGTTAGTACCTTTGTTCATATTATTTCAGGAATGTTTCTGACCTACTCATATTTAGAACAAATCTCTCGAAGCTTCTTGCAGGATTTTGATCGAATGCTGCGAATTATACAAATGCTTTATCACAACAACGATGCCGCCAGCTCCAATTCCAGTTCTTAATCTCCTCGAAAAGATCCGCACCACTCGCAGCACGATGCGCAGAGCTTTCAAAGAATATCAAAACCTGGCACTCGCTCCCTCCGACTTTCGTTCTCGACGTGATTGGCTACCTTCATTTCTTTCCGCATGTTCTCTTGCGATATCGGCAGTTGTGTTCATAGATATGATGGTAGCGGTTCCATCACCCTACAAAGAGAGAATTTGGGGTGTGGCATGGCAAGAGAGAATAACTCAAATAAGACATGGAGGATATGGAATGATGTTGGAAGTTCTGAGAGCAAACACAAAGAATATCAATCCATTGGAGTTGAGTTGTTGGGATCAGGATTTCGGAATGGACACAAACTTCCAAGTATTAAATAATGCTCATGATCCTTTTGCTGGAAATCAATACATGAACGCACAGTACAGCACCGGATACACAATGGATCCTTCCTCTAATCCACAGTTTTCCTATGGACTTGCAACACCTGCAACACAAGACTTTGCTCCTGATCTTCTATACTCCAATTTGGATTACGACCAAGCTTATTATAACAACTGGCAACAAATGCATTTGAGAATGCAACAACAAGCAAAAGCGGAAGAAGAGAGAAGAATTTTACTAGGAGATACTTCGCCAGAGGCACTGCAAGGAATGATGGCAGTGAAATCCTGGCAGATAAGAAATTTTGAGCACCTGAAGTTGGGAGAGAATATTTTCAAGAAAGATTTGTATAGACAAGCGACTATCAATCCAATCGCGGGCTTGTGGAGAATCTTTGATATGAAGTGAGGGATACCTCGGGGTATTCTGATGCATTGGGAGAAAGATATTTATGAATTATGAGTTGGCACTTGAATTCAGATTGTAAAAGGGACATGAAGGATTAAAAAGAGTTGAATGACTTACTTCATTCACTCACTTCCTTCTCAAGTATCAGGCCTATAGAACATTTATTTGTAGTCTTTAATAATAAGTATTTTTCTCAAGCTTTCACATCATTTTCATTCAGCCTTCTTGAAAGTTAGCTTTTCAAAATAAGATTTTAATATTATATTTTTTTGATTATAAAGAGTATCGATATCTAAGGGACTTAACCTTTGATGAGAGTAAAGTATAAATAAAGGTATCGAAGAGTACTATTATGTAAATATATAAAATATATAAATACGGAGGATATTAAAGAAACTTATAAAGTTTGGTTGAATAGATAATCTTAATAAGAAGAGTAATATAAGAAGATGCGATAGTGATTTTACTAGCTTAATAGGAAAGATAAAGCTTTTATCTATAAATATTAATACTTCTATAATCTCTTATATTAAGATTTATATATAAAGAAGAATTGATTTGATTAATTGATTATATTATATACGGGTCTAGCGGTCTGAAGGGCTTTACGTAACCGAAAAAAGAGATGGAAATTAAGTATATACTATCTAAAAGGACTTTAATAATTTGAATCTCTTTTCAATATTAGACTAAATATATATAGTTCTAATTATTAAGAAAGCTCAAATTTCTGTTTGGTCTTCTTATATTCTAATATTCAATTTGGAATGAATTTATAATTTATTAAAGAAGTTCTTTAAAAGAATATTCTATACCCACCTCTTTTTTCGGTTACGTAGAGGCTAATATATTGAAATACTCGCTTTATTACTTGTACTTCACTTTATTACCTTACAGCTACTAGTAACCTTCTCTACTAAACGGTCTGATATCTATTTACAGCTATCTACTTGAGCGTAAAAAGAAGTACTTTGCTTAGTCTATTAAAAGTTATCACGGAGGTAATAGCTATATCTAATAATCACTTTGATTAGGGAATAGATATATAGAATAATAATAAATTAGATTGACTTAAGATATAATTCTAATAATTATATCTACTTTATATACCCTGATTGGACAAGGTATTCATCTAATTAAATATATAGGATATACAAATAAAATAAATAAAATAATATTAGTAATTATAGAAGTAAGTACTCTGAAAGAATATTGAGATTAATACTTATAAAATTACATTATATAATAAATTCTGTAATATATTCTTTAAATTGCTAAATGCTTTAACGGTTATATTAAGGGATTTATATAATAAATAAAAAAAAAAATCTTAGACAATAAATAGTGTAAATATCAGTAAATACTTTATTCGGATAATTGTTGTGAATTTATTTGTTAGGCAAATTTATTTATTAAATAAAAAAATGTAAAATATATAAATATATAGAATTTTTTATAAAAAAAAAAGTGAATTATATTATTGATTTAAACAACTTATAAGAGAGTAATGATATTAAAGTAAAGAAATTAATTCTTTGAATTAATGTATATCAAAAGATCTGAATTATATTAATTGTTATTAGCTGGATATTTGTATTAATTGATTTAATTGATTTGTATATATAATACTTTTATAATAATAATAAAATTGAATAAAAATCAATAGATTTTAGGGGATATAATGAATCGAAATAATTATAAGAGGAAAACAGTTTTTCTTTTTTAATCTTTATATTTAATAATTTGATATGTTTTTTAAATATACTTTTTCCTATTAAAAAATCCCTTAATTCAATTGATATTTCTAGTTGATATAAAATCATCTTCTTATATAATATATTGAAAGATAATATTCGATCTGATAAATCCAATGCTTAATATATTCTTATTCAATTATTGTTTTTAACTAAAATTAAATCGTTTTTTAGTAAAAGGATTTTATAAATAAGATTTAATTTTAATAAATTTTAATAAAATCTTAATAATAATTTTTTGAAAAAGATTGAAACTATTTATAATTATTAGACTAAAGTAAATAAATATTATATAATAATTATTCCTATGAAATATAGTAATTCCTTTATTGATAATATAAATGAATATTATTTTTCTGATCTTTCTTTTAATAATAAGAATTCCTTATCGGAAATCTTTTTTTCTTCAAATGAATCTATTTTCTATATCTAGATTAAGTAAGTCTCGAATACCTATTTATAAAGCTTATAATAAATACAAATAGAAAGATTCTAAGTATAATCTTAAAAATAAAGATGTGCAAAACTCTATTCCCTATATAGAATATATTTGTTTTTTTCTTTTTAATTGTTATAAAAAGTATAACAAATATTTTAAGCAAAAAAATGCTTTTTTTTTCAATATTGAAAATATACTATATATATTTATATATCTTTTTTAATATATTTGAGATCTTTGATTATCTGGTTATTAGAACTTTGCAATCCTGAATTTGTAGTATTTTTTGGAAAAATATATTTTAATCTTTTTATATTATTATAATTTACTAATATACTCTTTAGAGAATTATCCCGAATCAGAAATCAGTTTGTATTACAATAATGATTATATTAATTATAATTAAAAAAAATAGTAAGTTTATTAATCTTAACTTTTTCTTATTATTAATATAAATTATATTTCCTCCCCCTATTTGATTATTACAATCATTTATTTATTCTCCCCCCTTATCAAAATCATTACCTCCTTTTCTAATTAAAAAATAGAAACTCTTTTCTACCCTTAAATTCTCTATAATTAAATATACAAAAGTTGAAATATATATCCCTACAACAAATTCAAAGACTCAATTACAGTTTATTTATTCTATTTCAAAGAATAAAGATAAGATAATATTTAATATCAATAATAATAATAATCTCAATAACAAATATAATATTATTAGTAAAAATAATATAATTAATTCTAGTAATAAGCTAATTAACAAGAAAAAACAGATTGATTTAATAAATCTCGATTTCGAATATATTAAAAGAAAATATAAACTGAAAAGAAAAATTCCTATTTGATTTTGTTAATTCTAATATTCAAATTTTGTAAATTCAAAAAAGATATAAAATAATTGAATTTTTATTATAATAAATTCTTAATTAATCTATTTACTATTATCTCTACTATAAGCAAATATATAAGATAGAAACTTCCCTTTGAATATTCCTAATATAGTTATATATTCTATATATCGATATATTTCAGTTTAATAATAATCCTTTTATTTTTTCCTACTATTAATCTGATCGTTTACTAATTATCATAGAAAATTATAACTAATTATTTGACTATAAGATTGATTTTTTTAAGAAATTATAATATAATTAGTATTTCTTTCAATGTATATTTAATACTAAGTAATTCGGTTTCAGTAATAGATATAGTAATTATATCTTACTTTAAAGCTTTTTATATTATTAGTCCATCGAATAATAAAATTACAAAATCTTAAAATAATCTTTATAATTTCTTATTATCAATAAATAAAATATTTAAAAAGAACAAAAACTATAGAATCTGCTTTTAACTATATCTAATTAAATAATATCTTGTATTTTAGAAATACTATATACAATAATCAACTACTTTCATATAATTCAGAAATAAATTAATTAGAAAATAATTGAATTATAAAATTATAAATACAATATCTACTCTAACTATAATTATAATATATAATATTAATCCTACCTTCTTTTAATAGATTTATATAAATATAATAATTACAATTCCATTATATTTCATAAATTCTATTATTAATAGAGATATATATATATTACTATTATTGAAATTAAACTTCTTTATAATCTTCTTAATATAAATATTATATACTAACCAAAGTTTCCCCATTTTCTGATTACAAATAATCCGGATATCCAAAAACTACTTTATATTATCTAAATCTCTTAATTTATAAATAATCTTGATATCAGAAATAATACTATTAGCTGTTAATACGTTCTTGCGATGATATATAATCTGTATATTATTTATAAAAAATAATATCAAAATAGTCTAATCTGGGTTTGTGAAAAGACAAGATTCCTTTTTGTATTAATTTAAATCTAGATTCTTAAATATCTTATTAAAATCTTTAAATTATAATATAAAGAAATTTCGGAAACTATATAATATATAATCAAGAATTATATATTTATTCAATTCCTTAAATCTATTTGATAAATAGCAAATTATAAATATACCTAATAGATTTCTATAAATATTAATAAAAATATTAACAATATCAAATTGCTTTATTTCTAAATTATATTTTATTATTAACACTATTATAATTCTAAATGATTTTCTGATAAATATTATAACATAAATTAATTCAATTATATCTTTCACTTAAAGATCACTACAAACAACTAATTTAGCTTAATATTATATTAAGAATCTCTATTTATTATATTTATATATAAATATCTATTATAATAATATTAAAACAATTAATATATTTTATATATTAATTTCATATTATATTTTGTAATCTTTTAGATTATTAATTTCAATTTCATATTTATATTTAAACTATTTTTTCAAAAAGTAATTCTTAAATTGATAATAATATTGAAATAATTTTAATAATTTTAATAAATATAAATTGAGTAGCTTTTTTAAAACTTTTTTTTTAAATATATTAAAAAGATTTAGTTTTGTTTATATAATAAAGGTGATTATATTATATATAATAATAAATAAATAAATATTTCTTTATATATTTATATTTAAATAATTAAATCAAAATTTTAAATAAAAATCTTTGATATAAGAATTATTTTTTAGTAATAAGTTTATAATAAGAGTGTTTATAAGTATATAATTATTTATAAAGAAATTATTTTATAATCTTTTTTATTATTGGGTTTAATAGTAGTGATTTATAGATATATTAATATTAGGAATTATATTATTAAAAATAAAGAATTGATATTTAAATAAATTAAAAGTTGAATAAGGGATTTTGATTT